TTATATTATATTATTATAATGATATCTTTATCATTATATTCTTATAAATATTTTTTTAGATTAAATTATTATAAATGATTTGAACATATACAATTTATACTTAGTGTATTGGACATTAATTAGATTAGTTGAAAAGATCATAGATATAACTACCAAAAGTTTTTTGAAACAAATAATTGAGATAAATATAGTTGAGTCATTTATCGTATAATTTATTCTTAATTTATTTTTTTAGTTTGGTTCATTTAAAATTTACTATAATAAAATTAAAAATAAGTGAAACTTAAATGAGTTAACTAGTATACATATTTTAAAAAAATTAAAATTAAAATGGGTAACAATAAGGGAAAGTTAAAATGTAAATCACTTGAGTTTTTAAATACTATATAAATTCATAAAAGAAAAATCTTCACTAGTAAAGTTTTACTTCTATGGCAAGAAAGATAATGTGAAAAAAGATTCTAAAGGTTTTAGTTGAAAACCGAAAATTATAAGTTTAATCTTTGTATGTTTCGAATCAAACGTTATATAAATTCTTTTCTAATATTTGATAGATTGATTTTAATGCTTCAACTTATATTACCAATAATAGAGGTTTCTTTTAACATGAAAAAAGTAAAAGAGTATGGAATATTCATCATTATAGGGAATGATCTTAAAACGAAAACGTAGTTGGTACTTATCAAGTATGTCTAAAGACGATTCATTTGATAAATCTTGAGGATATATACTATATTCCTATAACTCTAGAAATTTAGTTTAAGTGAAGATATTGTTTCTCTTTTAGTAAAGGTAAACTCATCATAATTTAATAAATTTTTTTTTGTATTATAGTCTATATATAATTAATATAAATCTTAAGTTTGTAACATCCTATAAACAAATATTATAATGAAATATAGTTTCATAAACGATTATATATGTCTATTTTCTATTTTAGTGGAGAGAGATATTTTATCATATTTATAGATTATCTATTAAAATATGACTAGCTAAGGTTTCAAGGTATTGAGAGCTTTAGGTATACATAAATGAAGTTAAAAAAAAAAGGTAGAAAAGTTTAAAATTATTAGATTTGATAGGAGTGATAAATTTTATAGTACTTATAATGAGTTGAATCATAATTTTAGGTTTTTTGCTAGATTCTTTAAAAACCAGAATATTTGTATTTAGTTTGTTTTACTAGATATGTCATGACAAAAGAGGATTGTTGAAAGATTAAATAGTATTCTTATGGATATGTTTAGAAGCATGATGAGTTATTATTTTATATCCGAATTAATATAAGGAGAAGCTCTAAGGATAATTATATATATCTTGAATAAGATTCCTAGTAAGTCGATTCTTGGTAAGTCAATTCCATTACTCATTTTGAGTTGTGGACTCATAGAAAATCCAACTTGAGACATCTATATATTTGAAATTTTCTTATAGAGATAAGGATCTTTAAATCACATAAAAAGAAATTAGATTCAAAAACTATTTATAGATATTTTATTATTTATTTAAAATATTTAAAAGGTATATATTTTATTACTTTAATCATAATACAAGGATAATTGAATTTGATAATATAAGATTCCTAGAAAATAGTAAATTAGTAAAAATAAAAATCTTAAAATTTAATCTTGATATTGAGAAAATAGAGGTTGATATTCCTTTATCATTTTATATTCGAAAGATTGTTATTCCTCAAATCACTAAAAGAATTAATGATGGTGAACAACATATAATTGATGAAATCTCACTTAATATTGATATGGCAATTGATGAACTTGTTGAATAATCATAATCGATAATTTTTTAGAATATCTTAAAGGGAAAGGAGACTTGTTAATTTTATTATTATTATATAGTATATCGACAATAATCATATTATGACATAAGAATTAAAAGACCCCTAATTGTTTTCAAAATTTATGAAAAATAATAATTTTAAAAAATGATATGATATAATAAAAAAAGAGTTGAAATCAATGAACTAAAATAGTGTGTAAGAACTCGTCAAATTGCTCGATAACTATTAAATAATCTATTATATAAATATGACTCAAAAGATAATCTCAAACAATATAACAGTTACACTTGTGCTGAAAGGTTTTACTCATAAAAAATACATCGATTAGAATGAGATTTTTTTATTTTTAAATAAACTTATTAAGAATTAGTGACTCATTATGATTTTGAGTTATAACATATGGATGTGAAAATAAGTTTTCTAAACAGAGATATAGATTTATATGGATTAACTCTAAATGATTTATAAAGAAAATAAAATAAATATAAATTTTGGTATACAAATTTAGAAAATCTATTTATGACCATATATAATCTTTTAGACAATGGTATATAAAGTTTCTTGATACTATTACTTCTTTCATATTTAAGGAAAATACTGTTGATTAGTATTTATATCTAAAGATCAGTTGAAACTAATTTATTATATTGGTCCACATTTGGATAATAATTTGCTTTCTAGTAATAATCTTAGTTTATTATTTCAAACCAAGAAATTTCTCATCAAGAATTTTAAGATAATTAATATGAATGAGGCATCTTATATTATTGGCATTAATATATTTAGGGATAGATCTTAAAGATTGCTAAGACTATCTCAGAATGGGTAAATTGATTGAGACTTGAAAAGATTTAATATAAAGCTTTATTCAAAAATAAGAAAAGTAAAAAATTTTAAATAAAATAAGTGTTTTTAAAATGACTTAGATAAGAATCAGATTAAAAAAAAAATTTCTTATGTATATGTAGTTGAAAGTCTATTATATGCTCAAGTTTATACTAGACTAGCTATCAACTTTGTAGTCGGAATACTGGATGTATGTTAGAGTTACCCAAGAATGATACACTAAAAAACTAAAAGGAAGTAATACGATACCTAGAAAGGATAAAGAATTATATACTCACATATATGAAATTAGATCAGCTTGAAATGATGATATTTTTATATATTAATTCTATAAATTATCTCGTTGAAAACAGAAGTCCACTTTACATTTTATATTTATATTAGTTGGAGGGATAGTTTACAGGAAAAGAATTAAGCAATATATTATTGTATTATTAATAATAACAGCTAATTTTATGATATGCTTTGAGGTCACTAATTAAGTCTTATAATTGTAAAATTTTATCTCAAGACTTAGTATGGTCAGACTCAATTGCTGAGCCACTGAAGATACTTTGAAAATATTACAGTAATTTTCTTCTTTAAAAATGTCGAGTACTCTAGTAATTTTATGTATTATGATATAAAATATCTAATGATTATAGAAAAGAATCCAAACATAATTAATATCAATTAAGAACTTTTATTGTATTGATTATTGATCTATTCACTAAGGCGTTACAACTTAAAGTGTTTGAAAAGAATATATTTTTATGATTGAGTTTGTGAGCAACTCGATATGTTGATGCATGTTTGAGTGGACATTATAATTAACATTCTTTGTTTGTATAGTTAAAATTATTTGTTTATGCTATTATGTTCATTTTTATATACATATATATAATATTTTAATATGTCTAACAAGATTATCTTGACAAGGCAAATTACAAGAGTTATTTTAGGCTATATAAGAAACAATTACTAGTATTATGGTATATAAAAGGAAGTATGACATTAATGATATACAATCATTATAACTCATATTAATAATCAGACTTAATATAATATTATGTTTATTGGATTTATTGATTTGTTTTATAAGTTTCGTGCACACGTATAAAATATTTTTCAAAAATTTAAAATTTAATTAAGTAAAATTATTTTTAAATATTTTTATTTTATTTTAAATTTTTTTATATCTTATCATTGATTGATAATAAAAAAAATTAATTTTGGTAAAATTTCTTAGGAGATAACTTTGATAGGAGGGATTTCTCTAATTAGTATTCTAAACCCTTCGCTCTTATCAGTAAAAAGACAAGACCTCATAGGGACGAAAAAAAATCAATTATTGAGAGATTATAGATCTTTCTCTCATCTCCCCTCGATCTCTAATACATCGCTTATTGCGGTTTTATAAATGATAAGAAGAGAGGAGAAGACAAGTATAGTTTTTTTTACAGATCGACGTCGTCGTAGCTTTCAGATCCGACAATAGTGTGCTTGCAAATCAAATAAAAACTTTTTGAATAACATAAAAAAGATACGAATTGTACATTTTGATCTATTGTTATTTGATTTTAATTTTTGATATTAAATTTTTTTCACATAATAGTAACATATTGTGATTTTTATATTTATAATATCAACTCTTCAAATCAATTTTGTGATGTATATATTTTGACAAACAACCCGAAATTTTTTTTTTTCAAAAGGAGCTTAGGTATAGGCCTCTTAGGCTAATCCATATTGATATATACGTATATATGGACGACAGAGTTTGTATGATTGAAGAGAATAATAGTATGACGTTAATATTGCTAATATGTTATGGGTGATAGACTAACCGTCTAAAACCATGTGCTCTAAAGTACTCTGATGATAATGACCAGAGTAGAATCGAAATAGTTGCTGTTGATTGTAACGCCCACCCATCGAGCGCTTATGAACAAATTCAAAATTTCTTCCGCCGCAGATATGACACTGAACCGAGGGCGGGCGTTACAATCAATATGTTCTCCTCACTCGGTATATGCAAACTTGATGCGGTAATCATTCATTCTGATGTCAACTGGACACAGCTTTGAGATCAAAGAAATCACACTATTGTCATCGCATTCTGTCCTCACAACAAGCATTACCATGATAACAACTTTATACGTTCATGTTAATGAAAATGTCACACACTTATTCATCAATATGATGGGATGAGAAAATCAACATGTCTTCCATGTTATCGTCACTCTCAATGTTTGGAACAGCAACTATTTCGATTCTACTCTGGTCATTATTTTCCCTGGTAAAATATTTCTAAAAAACTGGCATATATAAGCTCTCCATCGGAGCTCTGCAGCAAACAAACAGAAAGTTCACAGACGAGGTAGCTCATAAATCCAACTTCTTTGAGTAAATACAAGTTGTAAACACATAACATGATCCTCTATGGTGCAGAACATACAATATATATATATAGAAAGAAAGAAAGAAAGAAAGAAAGAAAGAAAGAAAAGCAAAGCACCAATCTAACAAGTTTAGGCATACGCTCAAACAACATACACATATATTCCACTGAACATACAATAGAAAGGAATAGGCTCAATAATTCAGCACGAGTGGTAGTATACTAGAAGTGGACAACTAGTTTATTTGCCTGGTTTCACCTGACTGGCAACAGACATACCTCGCAAACAAGCAGCTATTTGGGCGAAGGATGGCCTTTGCAGTGGATCAGGGGCCCAGCACTGCTCCATAAGCTTTCTCCATTCCGGGTCACACGTAGCTGGTACCGGAGGCCTCAATGTATTATTCACAATACCTCCTGCATTGGGTTTTACAAATTTGTCAAGAAAGATGCAGATGGCTAGTGTAAGGTAGTGCAAACAAAAGGACAACGAGAAAGGAAATTTCTAGCAGAAGATTGAACACTAAGGTAGCAGCAGACAAACCACCCTAGTTGTATCCTTGCATCTCATCACCAGTGCACATATGGAAATCAGTTTGTCAGCACATGTATTTTCACAATGGAGCTAATAAACTTTTCATCATTTTGATCAGCGCAATGTAGTCACTTGTGCTCGCTTTGCATTAGCAAACATAATCAAGTTCAGCCAGCTGCCCATGTTTGTGCGTGGTAAATTTTACTACTATAATCTAATGTACGTAGACACAGTTTCGGCAAAACCAGAATAAAAAAGATTTATCATGTGGCACTGATATCTGCAGTAATATCAAAGCACAAAAGTGATACTTGAGAAATTGTGCCTCAAAAGACTACTGATAACAGACACTTTCTTACATAAAGGCCATCAAGGCATTTTTCCCATTTCAATGTCCTTTTGCAACTCTTAAGAAATAGATAAAAAGAAGGCCAGCTTAATGTAAGGCTCCTGATTTATATGCAGCATTGCTCAAGGACGGTAAATTACCTAAGCTGCCTTCCCCCTGCTTGCATTGATTCCATAACTCAGATCATTAATACCCAGAATGAACAGGCTAATCCAACTGTTAAGGCAATCAGATTCACTCTCTCCTCTCCAAGTAAAATAGGTGCCTTTCACTGAAGTTGAGATTTTCTGATGACACATTTATGTATAGTTGGTCAGCATTAACTAAACTTCTAGTTCACCAAAACTTAACAAACTACTGATCTATATAATAATTGTAATGTGTCTAAACTAGAAGAACTTAGTGGTCGTATGGTCAACCCAGCAACAGAAACATTATTGAAAATCAATTGAATATGCTCCAAAGTCTATACTAGACCAAAAAAATATCTACTACTTCAAACCTATATTTGATCGAACAACATTGCGGTAATTAATAAGACAACTTGAATGTGGAGTTCAACTATAAATTAGTTCTAGAAAGTGCTTTGCAGTAGTCGGCATTTGCTTCCAAACATTAAAGACAAAAAGGAGACAACTTTTTAAAAGAAGAGTATCATGACAAGATATTATATCCTGGAACCACCCAACAAGTATTAAATATACTCCTGAAGAGTTTGAAGCATACCTATAATTGCACCATAATGCATATTGGCATAAGGCTCTTCTCCCGTGAGGATTTCCCACATAACAATACCAAAAGAGAACACATCTACCTGCAGTCATCACAAAAGGTGATAGGGTAGATAAATACCTAGTATGCAATGTAAGAAAGTATCATTAAGTACTATGAAAATTTTTTGATTTAATTGACCGATTTACAGGGAGAGAATAATTCCTATGAGCCTAGATAATGGAACAAGAAACACAGGCTTCAAATCCTCTGAGAACTTAGATGATGGAACAATGACAATAGAGGTTTTGCTAGGCTCATCTCCAAGTAATCTAAATGTGGAAGACCAGCACTTATCCTACTTAGCAACGTCTAGCAAAACAAGAAACAAAATAAGGAAACAGAAAACACTGGTACCTTCTCAGACACCTTGTTGCTACTTCCATTTAATAACTCTGGAGCCATCCAAGGTAACGTGCCTCTGACACCACCAGAAACTAGAGTATTGCGTTTAATTTTTGACAAACCAAAATCACCGACCTGGAGAATATCCTCAGTAAAGTTAGCCAGCTTGGTAGGAATGATTGATGTCATGACATTTATGATGTCCATGCAAGGTCAAAGTTTTTACATCCCAAGGAATGGAGAAAAAATTACCAATGAAGTGGTAGACATAATTGAGCTTTAAAGAGCATACCTTACAGATGGGACGTGATTGATCTTTAAGATTTACAAGCAAGTTATCACATTTCAGATCAAAATGTACGATGTTTTTAGAGTGCAAATATTCCATCCCAAAAGCAGCGTCCATGGCAATGATAAGTTTTTTACGACGATCGAGATACCTGTTAGGTTATACAATAAAAAGAAGATATTGATAAGTCATACAATAACAAGAAGATAACAATAAGTTTATACAATAAAAAGAATAATCCATCAATAAGGAAGAAAAAAAGAGTTTACTTGTCCTTGCGTAACAAAACATGCCGAAGAGAACCATTAACCATGAATTCTGCTACTGTTGCCATGGTTCCCCCTGGTCCATCCTTTACAACCCCATAAAAGGCCACCACATTGGGATGATGAAGTTGGGAAAGAATTTCAGCCTCCCGCCAAAACTCCATGGTCTGCAAGCAGTCACTTGTTATTTTTACCAAAGATTTCTACCTCTTGAATTTTTAACCTTTTCTTAGCTCCTACTTTATTGTTTAGACACAGTACAGTTAGTAGATTATTCACTCTTGTTAGATATTATAGACAGAACTGTGGGACAACTTGGACACTGTACCAGTCTCTCCTGCTCAGATGATCGCCCAGTAAAGCAGCTCTTCTTTATTCGCTTTATAGCCACATCAGTGCCCCTCCATTTTCCATGATATACAGTGCCAAAAGTGCCAGAACCCAGTTCACGTAACTCTTCAAGATCCTCGTTTTTTATTAGCTGATACATGCAACTTTTAGAAATGCATGTACTAAAATAATAGTACCAAAATAAAAAGACGATGCAACAAATGGAGGTCCTAACAAAATGAGATGAGACAATCAAACAAACTTTTTGTCTTGCTTCTCTATACTAGTCATTTAGTGTTTCAGTTTGCACTGTGTGTAATCAGAATATGGTTGCTTTGTCTTTAACCAGAAACCGGCTCCCACTTGTAACTAACTACAACCTTCTGTAATTGCCAAATGTACATTGGGAAGTTGAACTCACTTGAAGATTTCAACTTCAGACAGTATTCGAAGAATGCAATTTTTTGCTAAAGTATAACAGTGGACGAGACCCAATAAAAACAGGTAGAAGAAGCTCTCCAAAAATTCTATCGACACTTCACTTGGAAACTAAACTTCAATGCTCCCATTCTTGTTGTTGAAGGTTGTCATTGCAGTAGTGAACTAGGAACCCCTTTCAAAAATCAAAGATAACATACGAACACCGATCCCCTTTGAAAAATAAAAAATAACCAAAATGCTTTTGTTTGCTTATTCAAATTTATTAGGAATAAATAAGTTGTCAACTGGTGGTATACTGCATGAGACTTCCACCGATACAGGTCCAGATGGGTCCATATAAACAGACTTAACCCCTCATGCAGAGACCATATTGATGATGATTTGAGCCTTGGTCATTCAGGCTACTAACAATGGCACCAAAGTTACAAGGAATAAGTAGTCTGTAGTTTTCACAAATTAATGGCAAGACAAGCATCGTACCTGCAGATTATTAAGATCAAAATCATACACAGAAGTGTCTAAGACCGACTCAGCAACTTCCCCACCATCAAATTTCAATTCCTAGTGTCAAAAAGAAAGATTTACCACTTAGTAGTGATTTTAGTAAATGAAATAAAAAATATTATTCAACAGAAAAAAATACCTCATTCTCCGAAATATGTGTTCTAAAAGTCTCTCCTAACCTTGTAAAAGGATTCTCTACCTGCAAACCTTCCCCCTTGTCCATTCCAAGTGGATGAGATGCCTGTGATGGAATATAACCTGGGTCCAAAATGTTGGGATCCTCTACAATGGTATCAGATGATTCCTGCATTCCCTCATTAAAATTAATTTGGGGATCAATTCGACAAAAACCTACTCTCTCGTCTTCCAATTGTGCACACTGGTCTGGGTTAGAAACCCCTTCTTCCACTTTAGGAAGCAAAGATGTGTAATTAATAGGATCTTGATCCATAAGAGAAAAATCTTTTTGTTTAAACTCATCCTGGGCCAGTTTTCTGAAGAAAGACCAACGCTTAGGCTCATGGTTTTGCATGTTCAGACTGAGTCCAGTATCATCATTGCGCAGGGGCTTTCTATTTGACAAATCCTCATCAATCCTGGCCTTATTGAAGATATCAGAGAGCAGGTTAGGAGGGAACCGATCATTAATATCAATAAGAATATCTCTCCGTTCTGAGGAGGGAGCAGAAGAGTCCTGAGAGATGGCTCCAACAGTACTTTCCACCCAATTGAATGCTGGGGTATGCTCAACATTGGTATTATATGTATCATTGTTAGGTATTCCCTCCCATGGAATGTCAGGAACAGTGGAAGGATGTTCTTGTGGCTTAACAGAAGCTCCGTCTGCATGTGCTTCTTTGATATTGATTCTGACCATGTCTGTTTCAGCAACAGTTGTAACCTTTTCAATGCCTTCAGTGATAGTAGGTTTATCATATGCAGACTTTAAAGGTGCATGTTGAAACTCAGTCTTCTGGATCTTCCCCCCTTGTTTATAACTTTTTTCATCAGTGATAGCATCAATTTGACCAAGCCCTGCCTGAACAACTGAACTTACAGCACCTTCATTTAGATCATGCATATTATGATTGGTCAAAGGAATCAAAGGTTGAGAAAACTTTGCACTTTCTGACCCTTGTGCAGTGGAGACAGGTTCAAATTTATTAGCTTGAGTGATTGTATTTCCTTCTTTCTTATATTTATGTTCAGTAGTTGCATTGCTAGGGCGTGGTGGCTTTGCAGATGATAAAAACTTATCAGTCTGTGAGCCCAGATCTCCCTCAAGTACGGTGTCAGTTACTTCTGGGATGGATTCTTGAGCTGCAATCAGGCATGCCTGATTTATCAGATATTGAGAACCAATGGAATCATCAGATTTAGATAGTCGATTTAGGAATTCTGCTTGCTCCCGAGGAAGCCTCTCAGACTGGTAACCTCGGGAAGGGCGTGAAGGTGGATTATTGCAGCTCACATCGGTGACATTGGCTTCATCATCAATAGAACCAGACATCAAAGCTCCATTAGAGGAGTATTGGTCATGTTCATTAAGGTCAGATCCATGTGCAACATTTGCAGCATTGGTTGATGAACCAAGTCCAGGCTCCAGCTGTTTCCCTTTACTTTTTGAAGGTGGCAGAGACGTTGAATTCTCCGGTGCAGCAACAACGCCCATACTTTCTGAATGCATATAGCTTGAAACTGTAATATCATGCTGCTGTATGGTCGAAATAGGTTCATTCTTGTGGGGGCCAGGATGCTCATTTTCAGTTTTTCTGTGAGAGGAACCATCAACTGCCACTTTTGCATCCTTCTTTACAGTCTCTTTATCAAATGGACTTATACCACTGTGTGGAACTTGTGGTACGGCTTGATAAAGGATTTGTTGGCCTGGCTGAGTAGAAGTACTAGTCGCTGTATAGTTGGAGCTATATTGATAATCAGATGGTGCAGGTAGAGGAATGGAGATTCTGCTATTTGAATATGGATACCTGTCTGGAGGATTGATGGGACTGTAAGCATAGTGTTCACCTTCAACATAATGATATCTGTGGTCCTCAAAACCCTGTGAATAGCTACCATAGTCAGTGGATGAGCTTGCCTGCAATGCTGGAGTTAATGTAGCAGGAGATGCTATAGGATCAGCAGCAAACCCAGCTGACTGAGTCGCAATTGTGTAAGCACGAGCCCTTTCAGGCTCAATATTGAGATTAAGTAACTGATCCAAGTCACTAGTCGATGTGCTTGGCAATCCATGCCCATATGATGCTTTTCCAGATCCTAAATCCATGCCATTGACCGCAACAACATACTGGATCTCTGAGTCACCCTCCATACTGCCAAAGCTGAAGTGCACATCATCAGAATCATCTGAAGTAAATAGAAACACCCTGAGTTTCTGTGATCCCTCACCACCTTCAAGAATACTGTACTCTTCCATCATATTCTGTAGATCTTCGTCACAAGAAACTGATATCAAGGCATCCAAATCCTCCCCAGGCAGTTGATACTTGACAGTATGAGGTCGACCATATATTGCCATTGTCTTTTGCATTAGTTCCGCCCATGAAATATCCCTGCTTACTCGTATAATACGTGTATCACCTCCCACATATCTCAGTTTTCCATCACTAGGTCGAGGTAAAATCTTACCACCAAAACTGCAAAGAAATTTCAATCTTTTCGATAAGATATCAGAAGCTTCTGAAGAAGTATACCCATGAGGAACTGTTCGACTGCTTCCCTCACTAGATGATACTCGTGGCATTGACCTTGATGATGCATAATGACCTTTATGTTCAGTTTCAGAGAAGTTGTTCTTCTCAGTCTCCTTCAAACGACGATTATCTCCGGCAACAAGCGCTGAAAGATCTGAAGCACTTTCAGACCCCATGTGTGGTATACTCAGCACACCCTTCATGTCCATGTAACTAGTGGTTATACTTTGATCCTCAGGTGCATTCTGGACAGCAGGCTTCTTGGACATTGCCCGTTCTCTCATAAATTCAAGAGCAAACTCCTCACCGGTCTGAATTGAGTAATTCAGAACAGGCCTTGCAACACTTGATACACTAACCTCTGATGGTCTAACATTAGCATCAGTAGAGTTTGGTGGATACTGTTTAGGTCTTTGGCTTGCTGAGCCAACTCCTTTCCTAGCATCCATTGAATATACTGAAACATTCAGCACTTATCCAATCACTTTACCAGCTTGCTTTTATCTTACTCCATTTACCTAAAACTGGAAGGGAAGAATCCCCATGACGAGACTGCCATGGAAGATGGTTAACTTAGAAGCAGGACATGCTGCCATTTTCGACCAAGATAAAAATTCCTTAATATACAGGGATCATAAGAATTAATCTTTTGCAGGTTGCTCCTCACCTCTAAGAAAAAAGACCCTATAAATAAGAGAGCAAATTAGACAGCCACATAGTACATCAAGTGACCAGTTAACAAGAAATGGACATTGAAATTCAGTATATTCAGGAAAAAAAAAAGGGGCCCCTATCACATCATATGTTAACACATTTGCTAAATTTGAGAGATTAGCACAGGTAAAATTATCATTCTTTGCTAGTGAAAAAATCAAAGAGTATGATACAAATTGGTCATACGAATGATTTCATTCACAAACTAATAGCATAAAAGGATATCCATTCTCAATCAATTTTTTGTAGGGATGGCTCAGGTTCAAGATCAGCAAAAAGATCTGGGATCAGTATCGACTTGTATTGGTCGGACTAGATAATTATCAACAAAGGCCATCTACAGATCATCCAAGAAAATTAAGAACTCATCAAGGTGAACCTTAAGTGGTCCATCCATTTTATTAAATAATAATAAGATTTGATTGTAAATCTAGTTCTAGCTACAGGACAAATGTATCCCAATGTATAAACTATTTAGATATATAACGGTGCCAACCATTTTGAACTAGTCCAATATTATTCTCTTTTTCCCTACAAGCCTCTACCAGTTTATAATCATACACAACATAAATTGTAAGTATTTTATTGTTTCATTCAGTTTCCTTTTAATCATGCTTTGATCTTCTACTCCATTAAAATTAAACTATTTGGAGAAAGAAGAAAAAGAAAGAAGAATCTTTCTCATCATGACAAGTGTAGTTAAATAATTCAAGTATTCTCTGGGAATAGTAAGCTAATGAAAGTCTAGTACAACTAATGAAAAAGCAAGAGAGAAATCTGTGAATGATTACACCAAAAAGTGGTAACTATATTTAGAATAGCCTACCACTGAAAGCAGATTGAATCTCCATGACCCAAGCTGATATTGTCCTGCATCTGAAAGATCAACAACTAGACCAAAAAGTGGTAACTATATTTAGAATATCCTACCACTGAAGCCAGATTGAATCTCCATGACCCAAGTTGATATTGTCCTGCATCTGAAAGATCAACAACTAGCAATACCCTTAGATTCCAAAGATGGGTTGGTCCAATTGAAGAACATCTACAGCATCTGATCATGCTGTCTGCAAAGGCTGTGCTACCCTGTCAGTTGTGTAGGCTTTGGTGAGAGGCGATGAGCTCAGGAATGTGCCAAGCCGGTGCCACATTTTAATTGTGGGCATATGGAAGCCACAGGCATGGCATGCTGCACATGCCAATCAGTCATGAACAGCCTAAGACACTCAACTATGCCACAGGTTTCGGATTGGACAAATAGGGTACATGCCATAAAAGATTCAAATTGCCCATAAAATAATCAGACTAGCAGACCAACCGACACGATTAACTCATTTAACCAAACCAAATTTCTAATGCGTTTTTTCTATTTTCCATCAATCCTATTCAGCTATACGCCAGTCTTAAGTTTTAACCCAGAACATTTATAACGAACTGATTTCCCACTTCACATCAGTACCAACTGCTCCTGGTAACTAAGTTAGGCACAAACTTCAAAGGTGCAGACAGATCCAACCTGATCCAACCAACCCAATCTGTTAAATTAATAGGGTTAGAAAAGTTAAGTCAACCGGACACATAATGCATGAGGTCAGAGCTTATGTTTTCGACAAGATGAACACCATGGTCGACCCAATCCACGTTGCAACACAAGGAAACAAAAGCAAGATGTACTAGGTGGTGTAACTAGATAATCTATAAACACAAACACTAGACTGACGATGTACAGGAACACGAACACAACACATCCTAGAATATTAGGGGACAACATGCCATGAACATGACAAAGAAATATTTATACATCTATATATACTACTAATGGTTCCATATCATACATCATATCGGAAGCAGAAGAATCATTCACAAAATATGTCACATCCATATACAGAACGTATCTGCATTAGGAAAAATTCCAAAGGTGTTTACATGTCCATATTTGAACTGTCTAGGCCATATCTAGATGTTCATCTTCTGAAATAATATTATATATTAACATTAATAAGTGGAGATGATGTGAACATCCATATAGCCAACCCCAAATAATTGGGAGATTACAGTATATTCTAATCAGTTATATTTGTTTTGAGAGACACTGTGCTAAATTTTTTCTATTTTTCCACTTGAAACGTATGGTTTCGAAAGGCTCAATCAAAGTTCATATCTCCTTTTTGTTGCAGCCTTCTTTTGGATGAATGACTTATCAAGTTGTTGTTCATCAAAATTCAAAAGTACAGAAGTTATCCCAACTAAAACAATTTTCACCATAAGTGGTTATTTCTTGTAACTAATGTATCTCACTGTTATGTATTAGACCAAAAAGATTGAAGCAAACCTTTGATAAGCTCCTTTGTAATAGACATACTCATCTCCAAAGAATCAAATTTCGGTTAGGTCCTACCAAGGATTGTTTCCAGACCATATGGGTCAGCACTGGTCAGTTTTCTTCTTATTATCTTTTCTGGGGATGCTTGGAGTTAAGGATCTATGTACCAGCTGTACAGGTCTAATTAGTTGCCGAAACTCATATCATAATGAGATCTAAATTCTTGCTCATCACAGTATCCCATATTCATTTGATATACCAGCTCTAACTTAAAAGAATGGGCCATGCTGTATCAGAAATTCTTGGCATAATTCATGATTCACTGATGTGTAGCACCACATCTAAACCAATGAGGACTCCTTCCTATTTGATCACATTGATGCAAGCACAATCTAACACTATTATATGTCCAGCAAGAAGTTGATACCTCTTCCTGTTCACGCCAACTATAGACTGAAGCCACACGCAAAACTTATGAGTTTAATCCATCTATGTTATCATCCACTGAAAATCATTAGGATTAAGACAAGTGATATAATTTAACCGGTGGTACTAATACCATGATTAAAAAAACTAAAAACAGAAAAAGATATCTAGGGCAAGAGTACAAATTGCATGAGAAACAATCAAAATTATCTGCCAACCGAGAAAACCAATTGATCTTAACGAGATTCATGCATGCACGAGGTCAAGGATTTGCGGAATTTGAATCTCCACCTGGAAATCGAAGTCGGGAAATCTCCACCGGTAACTCATTCTAACTTCAAAATAGAAGACCTCCAGTGTTATTACGATAGCCTGCAAAAAAGAATCAACACTTACAAACAAGAAGATAATAACCCTAAACTCGCGACCCAAATCAAACCCAAGAAGACCTCAAGTTCAAGAAATCTCGAATCTTGATAATCTGAGGGCACAAGAGATCGAATTGAACCCTAAAGACATCCAACCTCAACAAGCGAAGCTGGAAAACTAATATCAATCAACAAGACACGGACCGAAAAGGGGGCTAGTGCGATCGGGCTCTGCAGTCGGAGGATTCAAGATCCGCACCTCGAACCGTTGACAAGAGACGACCGACGGAAGGACGAACCGCACGGAAGAGGGATCGGCAAAGAACGATCCAATTGGGTGCGACGGGGTCTCGTATGGCGTGCTACCTCCCTCCCTCTCGTCTCACTTCGTCCCCAAGCAAGCGGGGTGGACTGGAAGAGATGGCCGCAGTCCCTTCGGACAAACGCCCTATCGCGAGGGCCAAAAATATCATCAAAGCATCTCCTATTTAAAAACCGCTGACTGGGGGACGACCGAGTCGGTGACGGTCGATTTGTTTCCTCGGTCGGCTCGAATCAATCGACTGCCGAACCGCGTCGTCGCATGCGACGATTGTCAAGTTTCGTGTTTGAAGGCGAGCCGGTTTATCACAGGTGATGGACCGGGTCGAAGGGTTCTTTAAGCCTTTTTTGATATGGGAACCACTTTTCCAGGTATGTACGGTCGATGGAAATCCCGGAAACGAACAAAATACCCGCGTGGCAACTTTACTTCCTTGGTCACCCCCGAAAAGGCAGAGGTTGGCCCCACGTGCGAGGCCCACACGATTTCACGTCGCAGATGCAATCATCGCACAGTTAAGAAAGCAGGGGATCAGGGAAGCCTACACATTTCGGCCTTGTCCGAGACAATCATCGCACAGGTGGGAAGGCGGACGAGGCGAGTACCGGTTGTCAAAAAAGAAAAGGGAACCAATCAAGAGGGAATTGATCCCTGGAATGTTCAGTTTATTCAAGAAAGAAGTGGAAGTTTAATGAGTTTATCAGATCTGCTCCATCAATCAACGCATGTGTAGACTAGAGAGTGCAAAATGGAGGAAGATTGCTGGAAATAAAGAGTTTAAACAAAGGAATACTAAGAGCATGAGTTTGAGCTGAAGAACTCAAGAAACTGTAGGATATCGTCTCAATCATTAGATCCAATCAACATGGAGAAGATAGGCGTTCATGGCTAAAAGCTGACACCACGTATGCTTATGAACATATATACATACATATAAACAAACACAAATGAGGAATGCCTCTCATTGGCTGGAAGTGTCCTTTGTCATTCTGTATATTGTTGTTTACTACAAGGTAAAAAAAAATTTGATTTTACCATCAGAAAGCAAACAAAATTTTCTGAAAGAAACAAGTCCACTTCGATTGCATGTTCATGTGCATTGGGCCAAAAAAAATATAGACAAATGTACCGACGTGATCATAGCAAATTTTTGCTATAATACATTTTCCTCGAACGACACGATAATCACAGAGTCTACGCAACAATTCTCATCGACAAAACGATGGCATTGAAGAGAGGTGATGATCAGATGGACTGCTCTAGGGAGCTTTCCCATCCTTTTGCATCTTCTCCTCAAGACTGGTGGCTTCATGCAACATGTCCATGGCGTCACTTTGCATGTTCAACTTGGCTAGGGCAACTGCTTGCATGTAGAATGCTATGGGCCAATCAGGGTAGATACACTGTGCTTGCATCGCGTCCCGCAGCGCAGCATCAGGCTGATCACACATCAGATGGCCCAGGCTTCGTCTCGCATATACTGTAGGTGAGACAATTGTTCCTGCATCTATGAACTGCACAAGAAAAGTAGGCAAGGAACAACATCTTAGTACAATTACAGCTAAATGCTACTGAGACACTGGGCAAATCATTTGGAAAGAGGAGCAAAGGAATTGGTAATCAAAGGCTAAGGAACTTCTAGGAAACAACATCATCATCAACTAATCTACAAAAGACACACACAGCACAGCAGCACATAGTACCTGAGAGTAACAGTCAATTGCTGCCTTAAAATCTTTACAGCGGAAGGTGAAGTCACCCTTCTTTCTGACCTCCAGTATGTCCTTCATCTGCGGTGTCCACTCTTGGAACGATAGCTAGTGTGGAGAAAAAGAGAAAATATAATGTACATTTCTGATATTGAGGCAGACTATGCAATAAAAAATGAACCAACTCAAGTCAGAAGTCATATCTAGTCCAAAGTGTCATACATACCTCATTAGTTCCTTCGTCATCTCTGTAATGTGTGGTTACTAAAATCTGATGGATGGCAGAAAGGTCTATTCTAGAGCAAGCTTCACCCATTGGGGAAAGTGGGTGCTGTGGTGTGGCAGGGGCTTCCTCATGCTTTTGAATCCCCAGCATAACATAAGACGGCATCTGTGCATCAAAGCATTTCTATGGGAGCATTGTGCAAAAGCTGCACATAAAAAGCAAAACTACGGTCCGCACATTCATGGGAATGCAAGTCAAACTGTTGGTTTATACACTAGGACACAGATTTTAATAAAAGTCAAAATAACAGCTTTTGAAGAACATTTCAAAGATTTAAAGAACTATACAATGCTCCTGAACAACATTTGATATGGAGGACATCCAGAAAACACTATTTCTTCTAATATATTCAAAAATAGTAAGAGTTCATGATTGAGCCCCTCTACAGGTGACTTGATTTCAGATTCTTGATATCCTGTATCTGTTAGACACAGATATACATGTCCATCATGTAGAATATTGCATGCTTATCATTTGCGAACTCTAACATATTAGAAACAGTGTAATACTCTGCCAATGCACAAATAGTTGGTGGACAGGTGGAGGACAATATTTTTTTAAGGAATTCTTTAAGCATCACTACAGTGAGATTGTAGTTATAGTTAGCATGAAAATTTGGTAGCCAGATCTATGCTTGACCAACTACAGAAGTTTCTCTTGGATGCTAAGTATCATAAAATGAGACTAATGAGTTGTTCTATTTTGTTTCATAAAATAAGAAGAGTACCTGACTCATAATGGTATTGATATTGATAAGAAAGGTAGGATGGGTGATCTATCCTGCTACCAGAACTATCATGCTACTAAGCATGCTAGATTTAACTTATATTTTTGACTAAAAAATATCTTAACAGTTACTGATTTACTCCTTTGATTGAATGTTGTATATATCATTATCATGCTATCGCAATCCTGCTTGTTTTGATTTTGTTATTAGATATACCAAAAAGCAAGTCAAGGTAACTCATACAGAGCGGCAACGAAAAGCCAAATATGGCATTACCTCTGATTTGCTTTGCAAAGGTGCTAGTGTTGAAACCAGTTGCTTTCTGTTGGGCCGATCCCTAGGTTCATATTGTAAGCACTGACAAGCAAGGTCAACAAGTGCAGTTGCCTCTTCTTTTGAGAAATTTCCCTCCAAATGTGAATCCATCAACGCTAAGCTATTTCTCACTCTTATCATGTCAAGTGCCTGCGAGAAAGAAATTATCAACAAATTATCAGAAGCTAACACAACATGTTGATCCATTCCTCATGCTAGAGAACGACATCTTCCCATATACGTTAAACTTCTGTCTCAAAGGCATGCTAGTTAGACCTGGATCAACTTATAAGAATCTTCAATTCCATGAACTTGTCCAATACTCGTAAGTAACATCCTCATCAGTCTCTTTAGGATGATTGCATCACATGGTGGAACCTATTGCTGATTATAACTGACCTTGATAGAACTTTACAAAAATTATCATATCATTTAAATCTAGGTTCTTATCTTAAAGTTATTTGCATAATCATTTAATGCAATTACCCCATCTATCACCACAAAAGATGAAATGTGTTAAATTACAAAGCAAAATGTTGCAGCTTGAGAAGTAAATAGCTTCAAAGAGTTAAGAAACATTTACAAGAAAAGAAGGCCAACCCAATGATGCAATAAATTCAAAAAGTATATACAGAGGAGTCAGTTAGGAGAAACATTTATGTTGTGTGATGTGTATATTAAGGGTAAAGTACTTACATGACTTGGTGGAATGTGTTTTCCACTGAGAAGATCTAAGAGGATAGTACCAAAGCTAAATATCATGCTTTCTGGCATGACCCTCCCTGTGAGAAAAGGCCTGTATTAACTAAATTGTAATTTGAATGTAAAATTTCTAAATTAAAACAAAAAAATCAGAAAACTTCTTTTCTGACAGAATTAACCACTACAATTGAGACTTATTAGATATAGTTTGTTTGCTTTAATAAGAATCACATGTAGGATGCATGTACCATTAAAACTACTAATTTATACAAGTTTGATTCTTCAGAACTCACTAAACAAAGAAAGTCAAGATTTAGGATTTTATCAGCATTCCTAGCAATATAGCTAAGTTCGCATATATCTTATAATTGATTTGGTTAATCTCATTAGATTGTCAGTATCTGAAACCTGATTACTACAAGATCATAAAGGCACATGAATAAGGAGCTAAGGTTACTATTAAAGTTCCTAGGCGTCTTAACTGTTGTAAGATGAGTCAAGATCATGCAGAAATATGAATATGTTAACTAACTCATGAATAGATACATAACTTTCTGGTTATTTTACAGTTCACCCATTAGTATAGCAGTCCAATTGTTTCTTATCTTCTCACTCTTTAAATTGCATTGCTGGACGACACATTGATTGGTGGTTCATAGATGCCAACTTTTGCAACAGTAATGGGGGCAAATGCTATAGGAAGCGGCAAGCAAGCAAACGTAACTGCAGCGAGATCTTCCCACCAGTAACAAATTTATATACATCAATTGAAGCAATACACCGAACACCCAAAACTCAGAAAGAAAAAAATAACTCCCTTCAAACACAAAAGTGAATACCATTTCTCAAATACTCCGGTGGTGTGTAAGCTAGGTTTGTGCTATAACTTTTTCCATCCCGGCTGTTTTTCATGAGACCAAAACAAGAAAGACATGGATCACCAGCCTGCTAAAACACAAACTTAAGTCATACTTCAACAATGAAACTTTCTAAATGGACAAGATATAATTGCTCAGATAACTTGATGCAAAAGAACACAGAAAGATCCTTCATTTCCAAATCCTAGCAGCACACTAATCTTCATTATTACTTATTTTTAATTACCATGTACATTACAACACATGTGGCACTAATGACTAAACCATTATGCCAGATAATTACTATGTATCAAGGCTTTTAAATACTAGTCCTATATCAGTTTCAACAACCTATCAAACTAGTATGATACAAAGATACTGAACACTATAACAACATTTACTGCCAATATAACCAGAGAATAATAAAAAATGATATGGCAGGCTGTGCCCAACAATATGATCCAGAAAAGAAACAACTATTGATAGTATTAGTGTGTTGATCCATATTATGTATAATCCGAGACATATATGTCACTGATAATTAAAAGTTAAAACTACCATCCAAAAAACATCCAAAAATGCTTATAAACAACCAATTATGAAAAAAAAAAAAAAGGAAAAGAAAACAGGCATTCACCTCATCGAAAAGGACTCTGTATGCATTTAGATCATGATATAATGGCCATCCCTCACTGCTACAATATTCCAAGGCTTCTGCAATATAGATTGCAACCTTGAGCCGCATAGGCCATTCAATAGTCTGGCTTTCCCCTGTTGAAGCAAAATTATTGAGAAATATAAGTTTCCTAACATCATAGGCATCCTAAAAGTATGCCAGAAGGAACTTTAGGAAATTCCAGCCAAAGAAATTTCGCATGGTCCTGTTATGAAAAGAAGTTCCCGCATCCAACAACGACACAGCTTTGTCTTTAAGACCAAAGACCATACTTCTCACAATATTTTATACATTGGTATTTGGAAAATAATGAACACATCAAACCCTCCTTTGACCAAAAACAATTTTCCACCATGAGAACCAGTACAAAGCACTAAGACGAATCCTTGATGGTGACTCCCATTCCAATGAGGGTCATGACCAGCATCTTTAGTGTACAGCTGCTGATGGAAGGTCTGCTTATCATCGCCTTGCAGTGAGCTTATACCCGTGGATGGTTAGCAGTTAGGAGTGTGCTAGCAATGGCCAAGACGGAATATTAGATCAAACTCCAGAAGGCTGAAGCAGGGGCTGCCAGCCATGACAACAATCAAGTGGTAGTATCGACAATGCAAGATCAGATACAGCAGATCACGTATTATGATCAGCTGCCATATAAGGGTTTGGGCAACTTTGTATAGATTAAAGAAGGGACTCCGGATCTAAACATTTCTTTATATAAACCAGGGTTCCACTACTTGCTCATTGTCTACATTTTACCTAACTAATCAAATCCAGCAGGAGTGATTTCTTAATCAAGGTACAGACGTTCCACACAGGAACCGTGGAATCGATGAGGATAAGAAAGGTCTCAGCAGACATACAGTGGAACAGATGCTTGGCAAGGGTGTCATTGGGCATGTACTCAGCAACAAGAAGCCTGTTGTCGCCATCACAGCAGTACCCGATCAAATTCGCCAGCCTCCGATGCCTCAATTTCCCAACTCCCCGAGCTTCCTCCTGCATGCCCAATAAAAGTTCCACTTTTTTCATACAAAGAGTCCCAACCAAACCAATCCAAATAAAACAGCAACGAAAGCATGAATCGAAGAAGCAAAAGCCTAGGAGAAGGGGCTGGGAGAGGGCGAGAAGAGCTAACAGCGAACTGCTTGGGATCAGGCCAGGCCGTCCTGGCGAACTTCTTGACGGCGATCCACCGGCGGTGCTGCAGCCGGCCCTTGTAGACGAGATTCGGGGCCTTGTCGCCGCTCTCGGAGACGATGCTCTCCGCGGCGAACCCATTCGTCGCCGCCTTGAGCTCCTCGAGCGAGAACTCGGCAAAGGCCGGCACCTCCCCGCCCTCGCCCGCGCCGAGCGAGAACGAGCGCCGCTGCTGGCGGCGGCGTCGGCGGCGGTGGTTCAATCGTAAATTGTGGTGATGATGGTTCTGCTCGTCGTCCGCCGCCGGCTCCGGGTGGTGGTTCCCCGGCGGCAACGACGAGCAACAAGCCCCCATCTCCCGCCCTGCCCTCGAGTCGCAGCCTCCTCTATCTACAATTAGGAAGCAGAAAACCTCCTGCCTCTTTTCCTGCCTATTTATATGGAAACAAATGCGGAGCCGTGCGGTGGGACCGGATCACCCGTTCTCGGGTGACGTGGCCTCTCAGAGATGTAGGATGACATACTACGGGGCCCACAAGCGTTCAACCTATCACGGGAAACCACCTCGCCCAGGAAAATTTTCACATGGTGATTCGGCCAAACCGGGGAGCGTTTGCATCGTCCGTTGGTCCTCGAGGCAGACGGAGGAGGAGGTAGAGCGGAAGCTGGCACAGGAAAGGAAACCTTTTTCCTCACCATCGAACACGGTGATGCCCCTCCATCGGTGTCCAATCATTGACGTCGCCATGTGGCCGTGCCTGCGATAAGATTTGCCGTACGTCATGGTAGGGGCTGCAGGCTGTAGCTCCTCTGTACAGAGAGGTGGCAGGAAGAGGAAGGTGGGAGCAGCTGCGCGCGAGTGGCTGTCGGTTGCTCCGGGCGTTTGCGTGTGGAGCTGCAGTCCTGCGTCCTTTCGCACAGCACGGTGATGCTGATGCTGATGCTGACGGAGATCAGACTGTGCAGTTCAGCACGGCTAAAGATTTTGCGACGACATTATTTCCGAATCGGAGAAAAATAAGAACGTCATGGCCATGTCGGAGCTTTTGTGGAGCACAAGGCCACACACGAGTCTCTTCGGGAGGTGAGGCCTTGGGATTAGCATTATTGATTGAGCTTGTGATGTCCACCTACATGTCACCATCCGCTGCCCAACTCCGAGTGCGATTAATGGACCACCCTCCGAATCCCCCACATGGATTCTCTCACCCCATCCTCTGTTTACTGTGATACTGTCAGAGAAATATACGAAGGGTGGCAGAGTCGAGGGAGAGAGAGAGAGAGAGACGGCAGCTTGCACTTTGCTGATCTTTGTTCTCTCTTCAGTCTGATGTCATGTCCAGCTGCTGTAGATAAGCTCCCTTCTCTCGTGGAACATTTACCATCAAGTTCTCGGGGCGGCAAAAAGTCCCTTCACCGGTAGAGTAGGCATGGGGAGGATTCATCGAGCTACAGTGGCAGAAGTCTCGGGAAGAATCAAGTGAACAAAGGGGTTAAAGCTGGATTTGTTCAGCTCATCCTTGGAACGAAAGATGCTGTGCTCCATAGAATCTGGGATATGACTGCAATGATGGGAGTCGGATAATGGTAGCAGTGATCCCAAACAATGGCGGAAAAGGGAAGTGTTGGCAATGGTCTCTCCAGGGATGAAGAAAAGAAGCCGGTTGTTCTCCTTCTCCACCAAGGAAATCTACTTCTTCTTTCTATTTACCAATTGATGAGGGTAATAATTACGATAAGACTCGTGTGACATTAGCTGTTCCAGATGACGTGCCTCTGTTGACCTGATGAGGCACCTGGTCAACGCGGATCGAAACGCCTATCAAGACACATTAACATCCTGTTCAGATTCGATCCCTCACGTCACGCCAACGGCAATGTCAGACGCTACCAGAAGTACGATCTTACTCCCTGCGAGCAGGCACATTAGGCAACGGTAATTCTCACTATAAAAACCCTCGCGCTCCGAGGGAGTAGGGAGGACCGAAGATAGATAAAAAAAACCACTGCGACAGCTCACTAACTTGATCGTCGGAGGGGTCGGGCCGAGCTTCCTCGACCCGACCTTTGTGCAGGTGCGAAGGCGGAGGTCTCCCATTAAACGCCCAGGCGACCAATCCCTTTTCGGAGGAAACAGTGACCCCGTCCTGATCGGACCAACGCAATCGACCACCTCAGTAGTCTCGAGAAACGTCCCAGGGAGATCCCCCATCATCCGGACCTGAACTAAGCCGCGACAGTCCCGAGGCCACGGCTTAAAGTTGTTTACAACAACACCAATACAAGAAAGGAAAACATCTTCCTGCTGCCAAGGAAATTATATGCCTGTTGGCCAGCTTTTCATTGGGATGCACTATGTTTACTGGAAACAAGAAAACAAGCCATATGATGGATCATGGTGGGACTGCCATTTTGTGTGATCGAGCTGATCTTATGAGATTGGAACCGAGGATCAACCTCAACAACAATGGTTCCAAGATCTGGTTGAAGAGTCACGTTAGAATATTATCAAGCCTCAGAATCTTGCACATTCCAAGATCAACAAAACAAAGAGTTTCAGTAGAGTTGTTCAGCAGAAAAGGGTCAGAGAATGTGGCAATCCACAGATAAATCTTTGCAGAAACTGATGCTGCTGCTACCACCACACTGCAGCTACTCCTGTTATCAACCTTGCCTCACATTGTATCTCAGCCAACATTTTCTTTTTTTTCTCTTCCAAGACATAAAAAGAACATCTGGATGGTGACGATACAAATCCCAAAAACTTAAGACTGTCGGAAAAAATATATATATCGTGCAAACTCCAAAAAAGATTGATTGGGTGATGATAAATCTCAAAAACTGTGACTTCAGAAAATGACCCAATACATGCCTTAGCAAATACAATGAATGAATCATGTATATTGTCAAGGCTCTTATCGAGTTAACTATAATGCACATAAAATCCACTATTGTTAGTAGAGACACGAATGAAAATATGTAAATTTTAATGTGCGAAAATGATCTACACTAATAAATTATTAATGCATGGATAACAATGTATTAATAACAATTTGCATCTTCCATCATTTTAGTCCAACACCAATATTTTTTTAAGTTTCTATTCGCATCAACGTCGATTAAATAAATTTCTTGACGTGGTTCTTTAGACACTCTAGATAATTATGAGATAAAACATAAAAAATATAATGACCGACATTGAGCACCATGGTTTGATGAGATTTTATAATCAATTTAAATTTAAAAAATATTATAAGATATAAATAGAATATTTTTCAAAATTTTATATTAATCAAAACTTACAAGGTTCAACCATTAACCGAATCCTCGACCACCACTTGAATGTAATAGGTGAATATTTTGCTTTGGAGGTCGGTCATGCAATTGGATGCTTGAGAGGGCATTAAAAATGCGTCAGCCCACTGCTGATATGATTTTTCTTTATTTACAAAATAATAATGACAGTAATATTTTGATATGCGTTCCCGTTTGCCAATATTTCGATTTTTCTTTTAATTTCTTGTTATTCGAAAGACATCTTTAGGTGGCGGGAGTGATAACGTTGAGGAGCGTGACTCTGACGTTGACCAGCGACTTGAAGACCAGCTCGCATCCGCTCTCCAAAGACGCCATGCCGTCCTCCGCCGACCCCAGCCTCTCCAACGCCGTCCTCTGCCATTCCCGCTCCTCCTCTTCTGTCATCACCTCCTCCCGCAAAACCTTCTTGTTCGACGACTTCGACCTTGCTCTCTCCCTCCACCTCAGCACCGCGGCGACCCACGCGGACCGACGCGTCACTGCCTCCGCCGCCGACGCCGCGGCCATGGACATCTGCGCCACACCGAGGAACACCACCCTCGAGGCATCTGCAGCCGCGACGGCGACCTCCCACATCACCCTGGCGATCTCCACCTCCTCGGCGTCCGTCACTGCCCCTGCGGCAGAAGCGGTCGGCGGCCTCCTCCTGATCTCGCGGACGGCCGCCGCGAGATCGGCCAGCTCCTTTCCCGCGCGGCGCAGGGCGCGAAGGCAGGGCGGGAGGCGCTGCACGTCGCGGCGGCGGATCGCGACCTGGGCGGCCGCGAGGTGCTGCTTGAGGGCGATGGCAGCGGCACGGAAGGAGCCGTGCGCGTCGGCGAGGCGGAGGAAGTCGTCGAGAAAGCGGTCGGCTAGGGCGGGGGAGCGGCGGCGGTGGCGGCATCGGAGGGGGTCGTGGGCCTGGGGAAGCTGGAGGACGTCGGAGAGCCCCGCAAGGAGGAGGTGAAGTCGGGCGAGGCCGTCGGAGAGCCAGTGGACAGCAGCGGAGGAGGAAGATGGGGCAGGGGGCCACGACCGGACGGCATGGAGGTCGTCGGCGAGGTGGGTGGCGAGTGGGGTGGGAGCGGGAGGGGAGACTGATGCA